TGAGAGTGCAGTCCACACCATCCTCCAGATCATTAATAAAGATATTAAACAAAACCGGCCCCAGGACCGACCTTGGTCTTCCTAATGTGATTTTTTTTTTATTTGGGGTATACATTTTACTTGAGCTTATATTATGGTGTTTTTTAAAAGTTTCTACAGCTTGCAGACATAACACTTTTGGGACTGTACCTTTTAATTTCTGTTTAAATAGTCCAATGATTAACTCATCTTTATCAGTCTTAAGCAAGAAAGAGTCCTGTGGCACCTTATAGACTAAAAGAGGTATTGGAGCATAAGGTTTCGTGGGTGAATACCCACTTTGTCAGATGCATGTAATGGAAATTTCCAGAGGCAGGTATAAATATGCAGGCAGGAATCAGTCTAGAGATAATGAGGTTAGTTCAATCAGGGAGGATGAGGCCCTCCTCTAGCAGTTGAGGTGTGAACACAAAGGGAGGAGAAACTGCTTTTGTAGTTGGCTAGCCATTCAGTCTTTGTTTAATCCTGAGCTGATGGTGTCAAATTTGCAAATGAACTGAAACTCAGCAGTTTCTCTTTGAAGTCTGGTCCTGAAGTTTTTTTGGTGTAGGATGGCTACCTTTAAATCTGCTATTGTGTGGCCAGGGAGGTAGAAGTGTTCTCCTACAGGTTTTTGTATATTGCCATTCCTAACGTGTGTCCATTTATCCTTTTACATAGGGACTGTCCAGTTTGGCTGATGTACATAGCAAAGGGGCATTGCTGGCACATGATGGTGTATATAAAATTGGTGGATGTGAAGGTGAATGAACCGGTAATGTTGTAGCTGATCTGGTTAGGTCCTGTGATGGTGTCACTGGTGTAGATATGTGGGCAGAGTTTCCAGCAGAAGTTTCCCATCCAGGCAATGGTCTGCTCTTTCAATATCAAGAGTTACCCCTCGGGGCACTGTATGAAACCACACAGAGATGTCTAAGACTTACCATGATTTGCTGGGTGAAATCTAAAGCAGGAGTGGAGCACGCATATAAAAAAGAGTGGGTGCTCAGCACTCATCGGCAGCCCAGCCAATCAACTCCTCCCCTTCAACCCCAGGGCCTCCTTCGCGCCACTTATCAGCTCTTCTGCAGAGTGCAGGAGGTGCTGCGGGGGAGGAGCAGGGGAGAAAAGAGGCAAAACAAACGTCAGGTGCTCTTGGGAGAGGGGGTGCAATGGGGCGGGGAGAAGCAGAGTGGGAGTGGAAAGAGGTGGGGCAGGGATGGGGCCTTGAGGGAAGGGGTATAGTAGGGGCAGGGACAGGAGCAGAGACGAGATCAAGTACCCCCGAGGAAATCAAAAAGTGGGTGCCTCTGCCTACACTGCCCCCACATGATTGCGTAACTAAATCAAACTTCATTTTGAAGTGAAAAAATCAGATTGTTTCTTTTTAAAAAGGAGGAAATAGAAACTTTTGCCTCTACAGAGATTTTTTTGCTTCTTTCTTGGTCCTTTTTCATCCAAAAAGTTTATTTCCACCTGAAATAGACACATTCCCATGGAAAGTTTCTGCCAACACCTTGGTCTCATGGTGAATACACTGTACCGGAAGACAGAATATCTAGGTTCTATTTCCTGCTCTAGGAAACATTCCTGTGTGATTATCAGCACTTCTTTGCAGGGGGATTGTCAAAGAGCCTGCACTGGGTGCTCTGCACAGGATGTGAGTTCCCAGTTTGGGGGAAGTTCTTTGGGGAAGACATTTCTCCCTCCATCCTTGAGGAACAGGGTGCAGTGTCTGCATGGCCCCACTACTACAAGGTCAGGCACAGTACTAGAAAGTCGGTCCTGCCACACTCTCCATCCAGAGCTTTTTCATTAAATGGATATGTTCCATTCCTGTAGCGCATGGATATTTTTTTCTCATATGCCCGACTGCCCTTGAACCCCTGCCCCTCTGACTTTTTTTGCAAAGCACTGGTGAGGTCTCAGCTCGATGACATACCACGATTGCAGAGTAATCTACACAGACCCTCCACTTCCCAGATCCACGGGGCACGCAATTATACCGTCCCTTCTGCAGTTGAAATTGTTGGAAGCAATACAGGGCACACAAAGTTTGGTCAGTGAACTGTAAGTATTGAGTAAAGTAGGCAAACTCACCCATTTGCTCCTGGAGTTCCTCTGCAAAAGAAAAATGGGGAGAAGAAGAAAACAGTTCACTTTATGTCCATGACTTATGAATTGAAGAGGGTGAATGAGAGCCTTTCTTTGTTGATTAGCATAAATATTGGCCATGTGTAGTGAGCTAGCTATTCTATCCATGGGCTAGCCCCATTCCTATCCCGCTACATAGTAGATAGAGAAGATTATATTCTTGCTTTAATCAATTTAAGAAACAGCTCTATGGCCACAATTAATTAGCAAAAGGTGAGTATGACACACTACGGTCCTCTGCTAAAATGGGTTCTGTTATGAAAGGAGCAGTAACACCATTTACATCATGAGCTGCATTCCATTTGCTGTTTTAATGCAGAGAACTTTGAATGTGTACATTGCCTTTCATACTGTGTCTCTCCAATAGTGTTATGGTTCTTGGAGACTACAGACCAATAGTGGGTGAGTGTATTTAAATTTCAACAATGTATGAGCAGCACAGCTCTGAACCAGCAAGTGCTTATATATGTTATTGAAAAAATTAGTCGAGGAATCTGCTCTATCTAAAACTGGAAAGTGGGGTGACATCTAATGAATCAGTGATTTTTCTTTTCATTCTAAAAGACTCCTACAAAGCAGTAGAGCACACGGAAGAAAAAGGACACAGACTTACTTATTCTGTTTTCCAAATCTCCTACAAAAGAAAAAATATTTTTAAAGATAACAATAGCAATAACCTTTTGTAATAATACGACCAAGAACAAAGGTAACTAATAGTTAAAATATCAAAAGCTGTATTTATTGGAGAATAGCTGTGAGGGAGCAAGTGATATAATGAAGATCGTAGTGTCTAAGGACTCTCATCATCGTTAATATCTAGGTTCTATTTCCTGCTCTAGCAAACATTCCTGTGTGACTATCAGCACTCCCTTTGCAGGGGGATTGTCAAAGAGCCTGCACTGGGTGGTCTGCACAGGATGTGGGTTCCCAGTTTGGGGGAAGCTCTTTGGGGAAGACATTTCTCCCTCCATCCCTGAGGCACAGGGTGGAGTATCTGCATGGCCTCAGCTACTACAAGGTCAGGCACAGCACTAGCAACTCCATCCTGCCACACTCCCCATCCAGAGATTTTTCATTCAATGGATATGTTCAGTTCAGTTCAGTTCCTGTAGTGCGTGGATGTTTTTTCTCACATATCTGACTGTCCTGGAACCCCTACCCTCTGACTTTCTTTGCAAAGTGATTTCTCGGCTCGATGACATACCACGATTCAAGGGTAATCTACACAGACCCTCCACTACCCAGATTCATGGGGCATGCAATGATAGCTTCCCTTCTGAAGCTGAAGTTGTTGAAACCAAGACAAGGCACACAAAGTGTGGTCAGTGGACTTAACTATTGAGTAAAGTAGGCAAACTCACCCATTTGCTTCTGGAGTTGCTCTGCAAAATAAAAATGGGGAGGAGAAGAGAACAGTTCAGAATATGTCCATTGTCTTATGAACTGAAGAGGGTGAATAAGATCCATTCTTTCTTGATTAGCATAAATATTGGCCCTGCGTAAGTAGCCCTGCTCAGAACCAGCAAGTGCTCATATATGTTATTGACAAAATTAGCTGAGGAATCTGCTCTATCGAAAACAGGAAAGTGGGGTGACATCTAATAAATCAGTGATTTTTCTTTTCATTCTACAATACTCCTACAAAGCAGTAGAGCACATGGAAGAAAAAAGACACTTATTCTGTTTTCCAAGTCCCCTAAGGGGTGCAATGGGACTGTGAGAAGCGGAGTGGACGCGGGAAGAGGTGGGGTAGGGGTGGGGTCTTGAGGGAAGGGGTACAGTAGGGGCAGGGCCTGGGGCAGAGAGGTGGTCAAGCACCCCAGAGGAAATCAAAAAGGTGTTGCCTGTGCCTACTCTGCCCCCACATGATTGGGTAACAGAATCGAACCTTAACAGTGTCTCCTTCGTTTTGAAGTGAAAAATCAGAGTGTTGCTTTTTAATACGGAGGAACTAGAAACTTATGACTCTACTGAGGTAGTTCTTTCTTGTTCTTTTTTACATCCAAAACCTTTCTTTCCCCTCATGAAATAGAAACATTCCCATAGACAGTTTCTGCTAACACCTTGTTCTCATAGTGAATGCACGGGACCAGAAGACAGAATATCAAGGTTCTATTTCCTGCTCTAGCAAACATTCCTCTGTGACTATCAGCACTCCCTTTCCAGGGGGATTGTCAAAGAGCCTGCACTGGGTGGTCTGCACAGGATGTGGGTACCCAGTTTGGAGGAAGCTCTTTGGGGAAGACATTTCTCCCTCCATCCCTGAGGCCTCAGCTACTACAAGGTCAGGCACAGCACTAGCAACTCCATCCTGCCACACTCCCCATCCAGAGCTTTTCATTCAATGGATATGTTCAGTACCTATGGACATGGATGTATTTTCTCACGTGCCCCATTGCCCTTGAACCCCAATCCCTCTGACTTTCTTTGCAAAGCGCTGGTGAGGTCTCAGCTCGATGACATACCTCGATTCCAGAGTAATCTACACAGGCCCTCCACTTCTCAAATACATGGGGCATGCAATGATAGCATCCCTTCTGAAGTTGAAATTGTTAGAACTAATAGAGGGCACACAAAGTTTGGTCAGTGGTCAGTAAGAATTGCGTAAAGTAGGCAAACTCACCCAGTTGCTGCTGGGGTTGCTCTGCAAAATAAAAATGGGGAGGAGAAGAGAACAGTTCAGAATATGTCCATTGTCTTATAAACTGAAGATGGTGAATGAGATCCCTTCTTTCTTGATTAGCATAAATATTGGCCCTGCGTAAGTAGCACTGCTCTGAACCAGCAAGTGCTCATACATATTATTGACAAAATTAGCCGAGGAATCTGCTCTATCGAAAACAGGAAAGTGGGATGACATGTAATGAATCAGTGATTTTTCTTTTCATTCTACAAGACTCCTACAAAGCAGTAGAGCACACACATGGCCTCAGCTATACAAGGTCAGGCACAGGATGTAGGTTCCCAGTTTGGAGGAAGCTCTTTGGGGAAGACATTTCTCCCTCCATCCCTGAGGCACAGGGTGGAGTGTCTGCATGGCCTCAGCTACTACAAGGTAAGACACAGGATGTGGGTTCCCAGTTTGGGGGAAGCTCTTTGGGGAAGACATTTCTCCCTCCATCCCTGAGGCACAGGGTGGAGTGTCTGCATGGCCTCAGCTACTACAAGGTAAGACACAGGATGTGGGTTCCCAGTTTGGGGGAAGCTCTTTGGGGAAGACATTTCTCCCTCCATCCCTGAGGCACAGGGTGGAGTGTCTGCATGGCCTCAGCTACTACAAGGTAAGACACAGGATGTGGGATTCCAGTTTGGGGGAAGCCCCT